AAAAAGAAGAAATCTCAAAACTTCTGGCTCAAACTATTTTTAAGGACAACTTCCAGCTTTGCTCCAAAGGTATGAATAACTGAGGCTTCCAGGCCTGACTCGGATAGAGTTTATTTAATGCTTGCCTCAAACAGCTGTGTGGTAAGATCTGATGTAAATAGAAAGGCAGGTGGAAAGTGGGGAGGGGGATTGGATTGCAGATCTCTGAACCAGCAGGTTAGCAGTCTTAACACACTGGAGGGTTCCCCATCCACCCCAGAGTGGTAATGTTTTAACATCTAAGGCAAGGAACCCACATAACTCTCAATCCATATATTTAGAATTCATTTTCTATCATAAGAATGCAAATGCAAGCTTTTACAGCTTTGTGAGGAGGGTGAGCCAGGCTGAGTAGGGCTCAGTGATTCATCCAAAGTAATGAAATTGTGTCTTGAGTATTTATGTGCAACACTTTTATCCCGCTCTTCAACTAAAGGGATCAGGATAGCCCATTTTAGCCTCACAACAACCATGTTAGGTGGGTTAATTTGTGAGATGGTGAGAATTGCCCAAGATTACCCAAGATCACCCAGTGAATTTCAAGACTGAATGGGGATTTGTACCTCCATTTTGGACCTTAGTCAAACATTCTAAACTTAGTAACCCACATTTGCTCTTGAGACTGTGAACTTGTGTTCTTGTCTGTCATGGTGTGGCTTGGCTTGTCACCTAGGAATGGTCTGGGTGACAGTCCCGCAAACCAGGATTGGTAGGGTGCCAGCCCCTGCATTTTTTACAGAAAGGTGCTGTTCTGAAAGCCTGTGGAATGGTTCTAAATATGTCCTTTGTCAAATGATCAGGCATCTCCATCAGGCATCTGGTCTGCACATGCAAGTAGTTGTTGTTGGCATCTGTCTGTCTCTAGAAACAATGGAGTGCACTTCTGAGGGTGAAGTCAAACAGCTGCGTTAGCAGCACCCAAGTGACCTCCCTAGGGCGTATGCAGTGGTAGAGGCCTGAGGTGGAAAGATGGGCTATGTTAGAGAGTGCCCAAGGGAAGTCTACCTCCTCCCCTACAAAACCATCTTGGGTGTTAAGATTGGCTTGCTCCACTCCACCTTGGTTGCTCCACTGCCTTCAGAAGTTTGGGGGTAGCAGTGACCCAGGATAGGGAATTATCTGTGGCAGCCTCTAAGTTGTGGAACTCCCTCAGCATAGAGGTACTTCTGGTATCTTCATTATACAGCTTTCAGCGAAGCATCTCTTTATGCTGCCTTTTGACACTTGAGTGGTATATTTTTTAGGACCCACCTTATTTCTGTGATTGTAAGTTGTTATAAACTGTTTTTGATATTGTGTTTTTGTTTTGCCCTGGAATCTTAGAGTGAAGGGTGACTAATAATAATTATTATAAGAATAATCATAGCCTGCTGCCTGCTGGTTCACTGGATGACATTGTCAGTGTTGAAGAAAAATTCAACAGCAAATCTAGTTGGCTTCTTATGAAGAATGAGAGGGTGCTATCTTGCCCTTTACCTCAGGCAGGAAAATGTATTGGGCTGCTGGTCCTGGACTTACACCACTTTCAACTGCAGGCAGAATGCACTTCTGAATTCTCCCACCCTGCAATGTGGCAGGGGGAAACTTTTTGCAAGTAGAACATTATAAAACGGTAATGCTCTGCAGAGCCTTGCTCCCCCTTGACCTGCCGGGAGTTTTTGTGCTGTTCCTATATGAAGGTAGGTAGTGCTTTAAGTGGCACAGTCCTCTCTGCCAGTTCAGGATTCTCATTCTGCTGTACCTGCAGACCAGGGCCACATCTGTATATTATATTTCTCTTATACCACATTAACAGTCATGGCTTCCGACAAACATTCTAGGAGCTGTAGTTTGTTAAGGGTGTTGAGAGTTTTCCCAGAGTGGCCAGGCAGGGCATTGTAAGAATGGCAGCTCTGTGAGGGCACAACTCTCAGCACCCTTAACAAGCTACAATTTTCCAACATTATTGGTATAAGAGTGCTTTAAATGTATGGTGAAGATTGTGTCGCGGGTCTCTCAATCTTTTCCCCATGCTAGGATACCAAGGTGGCTCTGCAGTCCTTTTGTAATGCACAAGAATGAGCTAGTGCAGTATCATGGTCCAAAGGGGGAACATGAGCATATGAAGAATTCAGACTATCCATCCTTCAAGTTTAGCATTTTCCACACTGGCTACCAGTGGTTTTCCAGGGTCTCGGGCAGAGGGAGGCTTTCCTCATATCCTGCTCTCTGAATCTTTTAAATGAAGATGTCTAGGATTGAATTTGGGACCTTCTGCTTGCCCTAACTTCCTTCTGAATCAAATGTGCATAGGATTGGGCTGATTAATGGCTGGCTGACTGGCAAATGACATACTGGTGCTCTGGTTGCAAGGAACCCTGACCTTCTCCTTTAATGCTTTGCAGTAGTCTCAGTCTCATTTAGGACAGAGATAAGGCAAATCTTGATCAGCGCTTTATGTGGGTGGTGTGTTGGGTGTGTGTGTTGTTCTGTTAAGGTGAACCTTAGGGTGGGGCACTGAAAGGTAGTGTTATTTTGAAGAGGTTATATTTAAAACTCTAGCCTGAGGCAGCTGCCTTTCTCTGCCTAATGATAAAGCTGGCCTGCTAATAAAGTTTTTCACAGGTTAACAATTTCCAGAGGGTTAGCCCAAATAGGTGTGTTGTAGCAAGACTTTTGTTCTTTCCTGGTTAGTAAGGTTTGTGAGCTTATTTACAAGGCTGCTCTAACTTTTTCAGACCTGGACCCACCAGGCATTTGGGGATCCTTTTATTTTAACCACATATTTTTGGTTTGGTAGTACTGTTGCTACAGCCCACCTTAGATCAGGCTGTGACTCAATAGTGGGTCCTGACCCACCAGTTGCAGGCCAGTGCCCTAGGCTGTGTGTCCAGGAGTTCCTAGGCTGTTGGTTCAGGAGTGTTAAACACACTCGGGACTTTGAGACTATTGCCTGGAAAGTGGGAGTGTCTCCTTACTGTGCAGACTAGAAGAAGCTAGCAGGGCTGATTATGCAGCCCATACTGGCTACTGCCAGCCATCTCTGTTAGCAGGAACCTGACATAGCATGAGCATTCTGCCTCTTTTATAAATTTTAAGAATTTGAATGTTCAACAAAGAAGAATTAGAAGCCTACACTGTGAGTGGGGCAACCTTTTCAGCTCAGGTGCCACATTCCCATCTGGGAGATCTTGCTGAAGCCACATACCAATGGTGGGTGGGACAAGAGGAAAACATGGGTGAAGCAAGCAACAAATGACATTTCAGCCAAGCAATAACACGAGGTAGGAAGTATGGTTGGTGAGGGGTGTGGCTTAGGAGAAGGTGTGGCCTTGAGAAGGGCCAGATAGAGTAGTTTAAAGGGCTGCATTTGGCCCCCAGGCTTGGAGAGCCCCATCCCTGTCCTAAACAATGCTTCGATTTATGTTAATTAAGGCACCCAGGGTGCTTCTTGAATGAGAAAGAGGAAATGGCTCATGAGAGGTAAGGAAGGAAGGACATCTTACTAAGTTAAAGAACATTGGATTTTTTTCAGTTGCATGCAAAATGTACAAGGGTGTGTAATATCCATAATTATGTTGCACACCATTTCCCTATCCACCCAGCTTAGAAGCACTAATGTGGGGCGGCATTATTTGTAGATTTCAGTTTTGTCTGATTCCTTGTATTGTAAGGAAAGGATACAAAGGAGGGTGAATGTCACATTTTATCCCCTTTGTTGACTGTCTGGTTTACCCTATTGATTACCTGGTTTATGCTAATACATTTTTGGTTGTTTGAGATACAGCTAGTCTTATGAGAACTGCAGTTTTATTGTAAGACTTTTCTGCAAAATACACAGTTCATTTTCAGGCGGACTGGCTTGACACACACACAACTGGAACAGCCATTGATCTGTTCAAACCTGGCTTTGCCAACCTTTGCCCGCACATCCTTGTTTAAAGGCATCACTACTTTCTCTGTCTATTACTATTTATTCTTAACCAGTTGGCTCAATGCAGTAACCAAAGGAGTGGTTAAACTTTACATTAGGTAAAGGGAAAAGGAAGAAATGCACCCTGCTGTGTTTGTCTCAGACTGCCCTGTGGGGGTAGGTGGGTTTCCTCCAATTCTTTTCTTTGCTTCAAAAGAATAATGTTGCCTCATTAAATAAATAATTCAGTCCCTTCAAATACTGTGACATTTAAAGTAAAGGCTGACAGTCTTTTCTGTCACAAACAACAGTAGCTCTAAGGGCTGAGTTGACCCTTAGGTTAACTAAGCTTTTGGAGTAGGATCCTTTACACAATCCAAAGGGCACCGCTTCATACAGATTGGGACTTCACCACTTTGGACTTGGGGTCCTCTTTAATGTCCTTACTGCTGAAAGAGAGTGTTTGTTTGTTTACTCACCACATAACAGGGGAATGTTATCTATATTCTCAGTTTGGGAGAAGCTGGAAACTCTGGCTGCCTGCCTGGCGTGAGATGAGTATCAGGAGGGGAAATGATTGTGCTCTGTGTAAGTGTGGCAGATGACAGGTGTGGGGATTAGCATGACAGTAAAAGGGTGCCTGCCTGGGAGAGCCATTCAAGGGAAAGGTATGGGGGCATTCTGGACTGTGCTACTTTAGACTACAGGTGAGGAGCTGCATGCAAAACCTTTTCTCTCTGATGTGCTAGTTTTCTGTACAGAGGGTTTTTTTTAAAGTGCAAAGCATTCGTAAGCTTCCATCACTACCACCATAGCATCAAGTGGCACAGCCCCGAAACATTGTGAACACACTCTCCCACATCATTCTGCATATCTAGGGAACGCTTTATACAATCCACAGAATTCAGTGCTGATATTTTTCCTAGAGAGCGCTACTTTAAGCAGTAAGGACAGGGTTGCATGTTTAGGGAGGATCATAGGGAGTTGCCTTGTAGAGTCAGATTATTGGTCTACACTGACTGTCAGGGGCTGTCCAGGTTTTCAGGCAGGGGGCATTGCCAGCCCTATTCAGAGATACCAGGAATTGAACCCAAGGCCTCTGCATGAAAAGCAAATCCTCTACCACTGAGCTACAGCCATTCCTCTTAAATTCCAATGCATTAAAAAAACCCAAAACTTTCCTGCAAATAGGGTGGTAGCGTGATAGGCAAATGAGTGAAGTCTACTTTTCACATAAACATCCAAAATGTGGTATTTTCCTATGTGAAAAGAGGAATCTGTTGTGTACACAACATTCAAACATGGAATCCCCACTTCCTTCAGCTCCAGGTGGTATAAACTCACTTTGATTTTGCTGACCCTATAAACTGGCCATAGAACAGCTCTCACATTATCTGTTCCTCTTTGTGCAAGCGTTGTTCAGAGTGTAGCTGAGAGCAGCAACTCCCATGATTGGGTTCCACCAAGAATTCCCCCAATTCCAGCTTCACGAATTACAGTTCAGTGTAACTCATGCTGTGAAGTATTATGGGAAATGTTCTAGGGCAGTCCATAATAGCAGTGAGCTCTTCCTTTTGACATGCGGGCATGGAGGCAGATTTACTAGCTTACAAAAAATTTAGACATCTCTGTGCAGCGGGGGGAGGACTACGTCTTGGTGGCACCTTGGCATGGGGAGCAGGAACATTATTAGATCATTTTTTTTTAAAAAGGGCATGAACCCATGGGGGGGGAAATGCATAAAACATGCAAGTGCTAATTTATATGCATGGATGCAGGCTGAGCCTTTAAATGTCACAGAAAGCAAGCCAAGTAATTTCATGTCCAAATCATCCCAGGTATGCTTTTAATTTTTGCCCCACCTCGTATCAGTTTATCTTCGGTTCATTTTCTCCCAATTTCCCAGCAGATCCTGCTCCAAATCAGCTCAACCCTCCTTCAGTTACTCCTATTCATTTTCCTCCAATCTCTGGATAACATCCTAAGTTGATTTATTTCACCAAATTAATATCCAACCCAATAATCAAGATCGACACTGGTTCAGTTTTCCCCTAAAATGTATTACCTGCTTGATAATGCTTGGAGTGCTCAGATAAAGATTCGGGGCACACATTTCCCAGGCCCACAGCTAACAACGCCCAAGGGGGGAACCACCTTTGCCACGCAAGGCTGGAAAATGTAGGTCTTTGCCTATCTAAACTCTTGGGAAGCTATTTGCTTTTCCAGCTTGGTGACCCTTTCAACTCTTCATTCTTGTCTCTGTTTCAGAACATCACTCCGCAGTTGTTTAATTGCCTCCCCTAGTGTTATGTCAGGCTTTGTGTTCAGCTTGTCTCTCGTTCCCTGCCTGCTATCCATGCTATCTGGAAAAGGCCAGAGCATCAAGTAACAAGTTGTGGCAGGGGGACGGGGAGGGGGAACGGTCACAGAAAGAATCCTCTTATTGTTTCTGTCAAATCGGGCAGAGTGCTGTCAGGAAGTATGGAAACTGCTCTGGGCCTTCTGGATAGCGGATAGCTCAGTCGTCCGTCCGTCCCCCCCAGAGAGCTACAATTCCCAGAGTTCCCTGGGAAAGAGGGACTGACTGTTAGAGCACTCTGGGAATGGTAGCTCTGTGAAGGGAATAGGGGTCCCCTATCAACCCTCAGCATCCATAACAATCCAAGGATTCTTTGGGGGAAGCCATAACTGTTCAAAGTGGCAGGATAGTGGGTCTACTTAGGCCCCATCTGTGCTATATAATACCAACAGCCTGACCTGATACAGAGAGTAGCAATCTATGATGGCTGTTGAGTTGGGTGGGGTGGTTGCTTTCTTCTTCCAGTGCAAAGGGTTTGTTTTAACTCTAGTTATCAGGAATCTCACTCCAGTAACCAGGAGAAAGGTTAGTGACAGCCTCTGTGACATGCAAGGCTTTTGTCATGCTTGGGATTTATTCATTAATCCTGCTGGACAGGCAGCCGTGCATTTTTTCCTGACTGAGGTCTCAGTTCTGCAAGCGCCGCAGCTTGGCTGCCTTCTGAGTAGGGCTGCTTAATGGGGCTTGAATTTAATGCAGAGTGATAGTTGGGGTATTTTTGTTCATTTGTTACAAACAACTTGGAATTTAAGTTGTTTGAATCCTCCTGCTTTTTAGTCATAGGGATCCAGAATTTCTATCAGTGCCAAAAGCAAGCAGGAGATAATAGGTTTTCTCTTTTCTCTTGATAAGTTGACACCAAACAAAAGTCGAGGAGCTTGGTAAAAAATGGAGGGGGGGTGGAATAATGATGGGAGTACTTCTCCCTGGCTCCATCTTTATTGCTACCTTCAAGAAAATATAATAAGTGAAATTTCTTCACAACTGCTGTGTAGCTGAATGCACATCCCTTTGCCCAACACTCAGTATTTCAAGAAAACAAAGCACTTTGGCTTTCATCATCCCTTGCCTTGTGTCACCGCCACTTCCATAGTGCCATTTTCGCACACACTAAGAAGCATTGTTGATCTTGGTACATATGTATTTTACCTTCTCTGTCTTGTTTCATACTGTTTTAATAATCTTGGCTTCCCCCACTGCACCCCACCCTGAAGAACTCTGGGCATTGTTTGTGGATATTAAAAATCTTTCATCAGAGGTCCATAGTAGCTCCTACTTTTTTTTTTTTTTAAAAGAATTACAATTCCGTGGGGAGACGGAATGAATTTCATTCCCCACCCACCCACTGTGCATTTCATGATTTGGAGTGACATTTCACAAATGGTTTTCGCTAGGTTTTTATTTATTTATTTTAAATTTTTTTATACAAGAAGCAACAATCAACACTCAACCATCCCCCACACCCACCTCCAGAAGCAATATTTAAATAATATTTAAATTTTAAAAAACTATTAAATAATATTTATGAAAGATATTTGCATGTTGCCCCATAACACAACAGTTTTGAGGCAGTTACAGATAGGTAGCCGTGTTGGTCTGCCATAGTCAAAATAAAAAAAATCCTTCCAGTAGCACCTTTAAGACTAACTTAGTTGGTCTTAAAGGTGCTACTGGAAGGATTTTTTTTAGTTTTGAGGCAGTATACAAGAAAGAAAGTTGTGGTGATGGTTCCCCCCACCAGCTCCAGATATACCGTACCTTCTGTCTGAACTCTCTTTAAAAAAAAATCCCCTGCAAACCATTTAAGGAAAAAAGGGATCATGCCCTGTGCGTGCCAGAAATACTGAGCCATATTACCAAGTCACAGAGGGAATTTGAATATAAGTTGTTCCCTCTGGCTCTCTGTATGCGGTATGTTGTGTGATCAGGATTACCGGAGTTAACTTGGTTTGTGTGGGCAGGGCTGATAGATGGATAATCTGCTTTAAGAGTGGGTGTTAGTGACCTTCTGATCCCTTACAGCCATAAAATCCTAGGATTGGCCCAGGCGGGGAGCTGTTCACTTGCCCTGGGTCTTGCAGTGATTTTTTCCTACAAACTCTTTGCGTTGATGCAAGAAGATATGTAGGAATTGGTCTAAACCTCCCCCCCCGGGGGGGGGCACAATCCATAATGTGAAACTGCCAAAAAGCAGAGCTTGGACAGGAATGCTATTTTTCAGCATAGGTAGTTGTATTCTAGCAAATAGTTGTGCATGAAGCAGCCATGCCTGTAAGGCCAGAAATGTTACTATTTATGATGTTAAGATGCTTTTTTGGGGTTGGGGACCAGATTTCCCTAAATGTGTTATAACAATGAACAAATCAATGCCAGGAGTATTAAGGGAAGCTGGCAGGTGCTGAATCTAGCAGTGTCAAAAAAACCAGTTTTCTGTGCTCAGAAAGTGACCTGAAAGAAGATGGGCCATTAGCAAGAAACAAAGAGAGCAGAGTACTGGACCATTAAGAACAGTCTGGGGATGCAAATACTGCTGCCCAGCAGAGAGGTGGAGCCCTCCCCCCACCCCTTTGAGTAGCAGAGGCACAGGCCAATGGTAGCAGACAAAGGCCAGGTTAGGGTTTCAGCTGGGGGTGGGGGAGCTCCTTGGGGTCGTTTAGGGAGAAGGAGGGGTAGAACTCCATGTGATTTGGGGATGATAGGCTGGAACTAAGAAACCCAGAGGATGGTTTTTTGCTGTCCTTTGAATCCAATGCTGCCTTAAGCCCCTCATAGGATGTGAGTGCTTTGCAATACCTCCATCTAGGTGTAGGTTGTATATACAGTGGTACTTTGGCTTACAACCATAATCTGTTCCGGAGGTCCGTTTGTAAACCCAAGGCGCGCTTTCACCAATGGGGCCTCCACATTTTTTTTGTTCATAATAATAATAAAAAGGGTTGTAATCCCAAAAAAGGTTGCAAACCGGGACATGCACTTCCGGGTTTGACATGTTTGAAATCCAAAACGTATTCAAACCAAGGTACCTCTGTATGTGCAAATAAAAGCACATATCATAAAGACACTACAAGTCTCTCTTGTGTTTCATTGTCCCCGAAGGGAACATGGATCCTGGTAAGTGCACCTGCAACCCCTGGGCTCTTGGACTGCTTGTGGAAATTGGGATGGCATGTAAGACTGGTGTTAGAAGTGGGATCTGTGTTTCCTGCAGGGGAAGCTGAGAACTAGGTGTGCCTGAGCCAAAATGGAGGGAGGAGTAGTGACACCCCTTGGGCAGCTGGGCCAAATCCAGCAGCAAATCGAGCAACAGATAAAGCAGTGGAACCAGTGGTTCAGTGAAATGAAACAACTTCAAGCAGAGTATGTGAGAAGTCTCTGTGGAGAGGAAAGTGTGACTCCCTGGGAGGCAGGAGCCCTGCTTGGTGAGATGCTACAAGGTGTCAGGAGTGACCCAGGAGCTCAGCTGCAAGGCACTCAAAAGGAAGGGGTAGCTAGAGAGATCCGGAGCATGGGTGGGCAGGGGAAGGGCTTAAACTGAGAAGAGATGCAGTCTGTAGCTGAAGGTGTGGGGGAAGGCATGTTGGCAGGAGACGAGAGGCTGCTGATTGATTTTTCTACCCCCTGGGTTGCCTGCTGTAGAAGAAGGTGCAAAAGGAGAAAGGCAGGCAGGCAATTTGAACTACTTCAAATTGATTTATCCCCCCCTGGGGTGCTTGTTGTGGAAAAAGGGGGTGCAAGAAGAACGGTGGCTGCAGAGATGCCAGAAAAAAAGAGAGCAGATGGTTCCTGCCGAATTGGTGAACTTACCCAGTTTCTGAGGGTGATCAAATAGTGGACTGGTCTCGTGCATATGCCTTTCTCCACTGCAGATTTATTAAACTGGAAAGCCACCACCTCTGGAAGGTTGTCAAGAGAGGAATGTGGCCCTCGGGCTGAAAAACGTTTTCCCATAGCTGGGGCACAGGAAACTGCAGATCACTGCCTGACCCCAGAGTGACAGAGGATGCCCTTGCCATCCATCCCTAATTAATTAAACAAATCTTTGTTCCTGCACTTATAACTCTGCATGGCAGGGAGAAATCCAATGGGTACAGCATTCCTGATCCATGCTGGATAAGGCATTACCTGCTGAATTTCTGCTAAAAATGCTGCTGAGAGAGGCAGGGGAGCTCTGCCACCCCACCAAAGGTAGCAACCCTGGACCAGAATGTCAGTTATGTAAATTGCTCTGGGATCCTTGCTATGAAGGTCTTAACAAGGTTTTCTTAAACCTTTGGGTGTCAGTGAGTCACAAGGCAGGGGTGTTATCACAGTTGCACGGGGGGGGGGGGGTAGAGAAGTGTTATACTGTATTTGCAATTCCCAGGCTATTCAAGTATTAATGATTCAGTTTTAGAGACTAGTTACGTGTTTGTGCATGTGTGTTGTGTCCATCTCAAGGGTTAGATCTCTTGATTCAACTTGCAGGGTGGGGCTGTTGGGAGTTGTAGTCCAAAGCATCTGGAGGGTGCCAGCTTAGTGAAGGTGGCTTTAGCATTTAGTAGCCTGACTACTATGGTCCGTATGTTAGGCACCTTGAGGCTGGATTACTGTAATGCTGCCCTTGGGTCTGGTTTGGAAGCTCCAGCTAGTAGAGAATGTGGTGGCCAGATTGCTAATGGGGACATCTAGCTGACTGCAGTGGTTGCCCATCTAACTATTGAGCCAGGTTCAAGGTTGTGCTGCACTATGTGATTCTTCTGGTCATCAGTTTTGGCCTGCTGTCCAGATGCTTAATATTTCAGACCATGCATAATCAATCTGTGGATTCATTACCGCAAGTTGTAGCAATGCTCATGAGTTTCATCTGAGTTTGGCACAAATGCAGTCAGTAAAGTACTGGATCAATGACACGGAACCTCAGGCCCAAGGGCCATATGTGGTCCTCCAGGACTATCTGTTCGGCCCCTGGAACTCTCCCCAGGCCACACCCCTCACTGACCTTGTTTCTTTTCCTCTTTGAGTGTTTTTGTCTGGATTGGATGTTGTCCTTGAACTCTGACAAAGCCTCTTGCTTGTCTGGGTGTAGGATGGAGGGAGCTGTGTATAAAAGCTAGCCTACTTTACAAAGGTAAAATTCATAGTTGTTGCTGCACCCTCCGTTACTTCGGCATGTGGTCTCCTGAAAGTTGCCCAGAAGAGAATGTGGTCTTTGGGCTGTAAAATGTTCCCCACATATGGGCTGGAAGAATCTTCATCTTCTGACCTGACAAGGCAGCTCTTCTGTGTTTTGGGAGACATAAAAGAATTGTCTCCACTAGTGGAAGGGAGTTCTTCCCCTGGGGTTCTTCAAAGGACTGTGCTAGCACTAGTAAATTATGATTAATGCTACAAGTTGCACTGAAGTTTGGGTCTTGCTATTGGTGACAGCAGCAGTGGCAAACTGTAGTGTGGCAAGCCAGGTGAGCTTTGGTACAGCTGTGCTTTTCTAAGCCATTCAAAAGGGTGTACCTTTGCAGGGCTAATTTTCTGTAAGGAAACAGTACATAGTTGAGGGATTTATTGAACCTTATTTATTTCCTAGTGTCTCATTGTATGGTTAATTTGAATGCTTCAACCTTCCCAAGGCTCATGTGTTTTTGTGTGTTTTTAAACCTATTGATAACAATGACTGGGAAGCAATGGGGGGAAAAGGAATCAAATGAGTTTGTCCTCAAATCTGCTAAACAGCCTTCAAACCATGCTGACGCTTTATTATGCTAATATAACAGCAGTGTAGCTGATGTAAAATTACACAACCAACCCCAGGTGATTTCAAGCTGGAATGAATTTGCTTTTCATGAAATACACAACCCTCACACTTGAAAAAATAAATAAAAATTAATTAAAACTTCTCAATTCTCCAATATTAAGTGGCTTATTTGGACACATTATTACTACAGAAAGTGGATTCCCTCATGCCCCCATAGGCAGTGTTGCATTTTGACCCACATTTAGGGGGTCTTAAGGCAAAGCTCTCTGTGTTAATTGGGAGCCTGTTTTCTCTCTCCCCCCCTTCCGAGAAACACATGTGGGTTTAAAACAGCAACAACCCACCCTGCTGCACACCTGTAAATAGGGCCCAGCCCCAAACATTTTGGCGCCCAAAGTGGGAAATCCAAATTCCCCACTTCTGCATGAACACGCTCTAATCAGCAGAGGACACAATCCACTGGAAGTTCTTATTTGTGTGCTTCATTTTAAATGAACAGAAAACGAGTTTTCTGGTAATTTTTAAAGACCAAACAGGTTTATTGCAGCATAACTCCACTGAGTAGCCACCTTTGCCTCTAGCATAGGAAGCCACCTTATACAGAGGCAGACCGTTGGACCACCTAGCTCAGTACTGTCTATATACTGTTAGCAGCTCTCCAGGATCTCGGGCCCAGGGACATTTCCAGCCCTATCTGGAGATGCCGAGGATCGAACCAGGGACCTTCTGCATGCCAGGCAGATGCTATACCACTAAGCTGCGGCCCTCTTTTAATAGCAGCTGGTGGAAAAGGAGAGATAATTTTGTGACTACAATAAATCTGCTATTTAAGGTATTGGGAGTAGGAACAGAAAGCAATGGGGTTGACAGAAATTTAGGGACGTGGGTGGTGCTGTGGTCTAAACCACTCAGCCTCTTGGGCTTGTTGATCAGAAGGTTGGCAGTTCAAATCTGCACAATGGGGTGAGCTCGCATTGCTCTGTCCCAGCTTCTGCCAACCTAGCAGTTTGAAAGCACAGCAGCGCAAGTAGATAAATAGGTACCACTGTGGCGGGAATGTAAACAGTGTTTCCGTGTGCTCTGGTTTCCATCACAGTGTGCTGTTGCGCCAGAAGCGGTTTAGTCATGCTGGCCACATGACCCGGAAAACTGTCTGTGGACAAACGCCAGCTCCCGCGGTCTGAAAGCGAGATGAGCACCGCACTCCCTAGTTGCCTTTGACTAGACTTAACTGTCCAGGGGTCCTTTACCTTTACCTATTGATGCAAAGCTTTTTGGACCCTGCTAGTCCTTCTTGAAGAAAAGGAATTAATTCTTCAGGAAACTTCTGAGAATCAAACATTAAGATCTGCTGCCTCTTTTCATTGGATGCATCTACAGTACACCATTGATTTTTGTTCCTACTACCAATTCTGTTTTGGAGTTCCCATTTGTGTTGCATTTCTTCTTAGGTGTCACAAAATTTGTGTGTGTATATGTGCATGTTTGCTGTAACAGACTAACACACCTACCCCAGAAATTGAATGTTCAGGATCTCTTGTGCACAGTGAGACTCACATAGAAAAGACCAAAGACTTGGGCCACATGAACACCATATATATTTTAAAGCACATAGCTTCCCCCCCTAAAAATTCCTGGGAACTGTACTTTACCTCTCACAGAGGTACCATACGTATCTCAACACAAATTGCAGTTTCTGGGATTCTTTAGGGGAAGCCATGTGCTTTAAATCATGCTGTTGGTAGGGCCTTGTGCTCTGTCCTACAATGCACTATCCTTGATCATCATGCATTTAAAGCAGTTCCCGCCTGGCAGAATCCTGGGACCTGTAGTTTGTTAAGGGTGCTAGGCATTATAGCTTTGAGAGATACACTTCAGTTCCCAAGGTTCTTCGTTGGAGGAGAAAGTGTTTTAAATGTATAGTATGTACGCAGCTTTAATGGGCCTAGTAAATTAGTTTTTGTTTTGTTGCTGAATTGGGTGGATGGGCTCTTTTCATCACTGGATGTGTTCAAGCATAGGCCAGCCAAGCCATCTGTTGGTGATGTTCTAGCTCTGGATTTATTCCATTGGGGCACAGGTTGGACTAGGTGACCTAAAAGGCCCCCCTCCAAGTCTGTGATTTAATCAACTTCTTGGAGGAAGTTGGGAGAAAGGTTTATTGCTTAGCCTCCTTCAGATCATCCTGTGGTTGGGGTCTCCTCTAGCTATCAGGCTCCCATTTCTCCCCTTTCCCAGTGGTCTGAGGCTTGACCAGTGCTCCATGGCTGATGGCACGGCTATTCTTAATGGCAGCAGCAGCAGCAGTCTGGTTTCATATTTCCTGTGTTGAATCCCTAGGGATCCCCTTTGCTTGGCTTTAGAACTTTCTTTGGCTTCCATGGTCCAGTTCAGCAGATTGCTTTCTGTCTGCATGGAGGATTATGCGGAATTAAAGAGCTTTAACCAGCAGTTGTCCCCAGATAAACATCATCTCCAAATTCAGCAGCCTCAGGTGGGAAGTTATGTAACCCACCCGGGCTTGGTTGGGTAACTGAGTTTGTTTTATTGGTGGGAGGGATACCTTTTGGGGGGGGGCACAGTTGGTAATCTCTGGTATGGTTTGTGGGGTGAAACTTTCTTGGCAAAACTGCTTTCTTACATTGCAGGTGAAATAAAGCGTAGTCACTGGTTAAGAGACTAAGCTGTAGACTTGGCAAGTCTGCAGTTTGAATCTCTCCTCATATTGTGAGCTTGGGTCACACCCAAACCATACATTTGAATACCTATCACTTTAACGAAGTTGGAGAATCCTAGAAATTGTAGTTTGTTAAGGGTGCTGGGAATCGTAGGTCTAGTGAGGTCAGCACCCTTAACACACCACTGCCCATGACTGTTAAAATGGTATAATAGTGCTCTAACTGTACGGTGTGAGCGTGGCCATTGTTACCAGTTCTGCTCCTGGATTGGATGGGGGGGTGCTTCTAGGGAGGACAAGACAGCCAGAGTCACCACTGAAAATCAGTGAGAATTCTTCTACGCAGCAAGAAGCAACATAGATAGAACTACCATATTTTTCCATGTATAAGGTGCCCCCATGTATAAGACGCCCCCTATTTTGGGGGTCTAAATTTAAAGAAAATGAGGGGAGATGGCCCAAAGTTGTTGAGCTTTTTTTAAGGGGGAATTGCATGCGTGCCATCACTCCAGCAGGGTCGTTGCTGGGGTTTGGCAAAGTGGGCAGCCACTCCCCCCCCCCGCCACTGAGGGCAGGAAGCTCCCTAGAGCGTGGGCCGCTTCCCCTCCATGCCACTGCGGGAAACACTCCTTAGAGCGCACGCCTCCCACAGCGGCATGGGGGGGAGTTGCACGCCTGCCAACCATCTGGCTGGCAGGTGCAGCTGCCCCTCCATGCCACTATCCATGTATAGGACGACCCCAGTTTTTTTACATGATTTTTGAGTAAAAAAACCTCGTCTAATACACGGAAAAATACGGTATATATTTGAATTGTAACTTCAAGAATTTATACTCGACTTGCCTTTCCACTTCCAGATTTGGTTAAGGTGTTTGTTCATGTAAATTAGAAGTGCAGATGTATGTTTGGGATTTTTGGAGTAGAAAATGAAGGACTGTATAAGGGCTCCATTTGGTTATATTGTTGGCAATTCAGCTGATAAACATATTTGTTTCCTTAACGAGTTGCTGTTGGAATCAAGGCTTTATAAGTGTTGAAATAAAATGGGGTAAGAGCTTTGCAATGAGTCTCTGGTTAAAACCCAGGATGTGAGAAGCCACTGCCCATTTTGGCAGTATCAGTTCTCCTTGGTTGACTTTGTTCTTGCCTGGCGCCTGGGGAGGAAGTGTTGATAAAAGGGGCTTCCGGCAGCTGCCTTGGCTACCTATGGCACACCTACCCAGATTACTTTCTGCTGAGTCATCCTTAAGATGTTGAACTACGTTTAACTCTTTCTTCTCAGCACCAAGGAAAGGATTTGCTTAGTGCACTGAAAAGAGTACCATAACACACCCATGGGAGTGGGTGACGCTGTGGTCTAAACCACTCCGCCTCTTGGACTTGCTGATCAGAAGGTTGGCGGTTCGAATCCGCATGACAGGGTGAGCTCCTGTTGCTCTGTCCCAGCTTCTGCCAATCTAGCAGTTCAAAAGCATACCAGTGTGAGTAGAGAAATAGGTACCGCTGTGGCAGGAAGGTAAACAGTGTTTCCGTGCGCTCGTCATGGTGTTCCGCTGCGCCAGAAGTAGTTTAGTCATGCTGGGCACATGACCCGGAAGCTGTCTGTGGACAAACACTGGCTCCCTCAGCCTGAAAGCAAGATGAGTGCCGCACCCCATAGTCACTTTTGACTGGACTTAACTGTAACTTTACCTTTACCTTTCCATAACACATCACTGTTGTACAATATCACTTTGGGTTAAAACTTGTTCTTCACGTTTGTGTATTTTGTTACATGGTCCTGGTCTCTTGGGAATAGCTGCATTGTTAAAAGTACCGCATGATACTCATTCCACATTTGTAAGAAATCAGTATTTTAGCGTGGCAGCACACACTCTTTGGAACTCCTTGCTTATTGACATCAGGCAAGACACCTTCCCTGTACTCCTTTTGGTGCCTGCTGAAAACGTTTTTGTTTAGTCATGCCTATCCAGGCATGTAGAATGTCGGCATGTGTTTTAATCCAGTTTTTAGCTTATTGTCAAACCTAGTTATTTTTTGAATATTTTAAATAATTGTTTTTAACTATTCATTAACTTATAATGTAACTGCTTTATTCATTTTGTAAACTGCTTTGAAGAAAGATGCTAAGGCTTGTAGTAGGCTTGGAGCCTGTTAAGATCATCAAGCGGTGTTTAGATCATTGCTGTTTTTGTTCAGCAAGGGATGGTTGCTGCTGGACACGTTACTAATGGGAAGTTTGGCTTTTTTGCTTTGCAGAATGGACAAGCTGCTCCAGAAGGAAAAAAGGGAGCTCTGCCAAAGGTAAAACCACACACATGAATCTTTTTGTGCTTTTATTACACAATGCTGGTTTGGATGTTTCACTATGGCATTGCTTCCAGACTCTTCCTCGATGTGACTTTGGTGTCTGGTGTGTTTTTTTCCAGCACAACTGAGAGTGAAATTAGTGATAGATTAGTCTGTGGCTTTAATTAATCTACTGCTTCTCCCCCTGCCTCCCCAAAAGGTGTGTTGACAGAGATGGTATTTGCCTTTTCAAATCACAAATATTTTTTACTACCTGATTCAGTCTTTCTTTTTTAACCAACTAAGGATCTCCACCATTCCCACTGAATTGCCTTGCCTTTGTCAAGGAGAAGTTTTGAACTACGTGTGTGTGACTTCACTCACGGAGGGTGGTGGGCTTGCTAAGATATGCAGCACTTGGAAAATGCACTCTGCCTGCAACGGAAGCACAACTTTGGGGAAAGGTTCAGGATTGGTTGCAGAAAGCTAGTAACAACTGCAGTCATGAGTGATGATGAGAAATCAGGAAAGATTTTTCAGTTTTGATGTGGGCGGGTGCTCAAGATTCACAGCAAGGTTCAAAAATCCACTCACAAATTTATTCAGTATTCAGGGGACTGTGGGGGGGGGGAAGCAATCCTTCATTTATTTAACAAAATTTATATACCACTTGATAACAAAATCTTCAAGCTGTTTACGAGGGAGATTAAAATCAATCAAAACCGTTAAAAGCAAATAACTAAAACATGTTTAAAAACAATTGGAATCAGCAGTAAATGAAAAAGAGATTAAAAC